AGGTACTCTTCCTGGGTCTTTCTGGGCTCTGAGTGCTGCCCACTTTGTATCCCACTTGTATTCTCCATCACTGCAACACAGTCTAGAAAACCCTTTAAGGCACCAACCTGAGGCAACTGTAGAGCTCACCTCATTAGTTTCCCATCTCTCAAGGACCACTGTCCCTTATTCCCTGATGTCCAGTGACTTGAAAACAATTGCTTTATAGTATATCCTATTTTTATTGTTGTTTCAAGCGAGATGGCCAATCTTATCCCTATTATTCTACCTTTGTGTGGAGCTACTATTATTGAAATGAAACCTCAAGAAATACTCCATTAAATGAAAGCACATTATTTTCATACACAAATCAAATTGAAACACGTTTCTTTGGAGGCTTTTAAACCACTTTCAATGTTCTCCATTCCTTTCCACCTGGTGTCAAAGGCTCTCCCACCTTTCCTATAATGCTTTTATAGGTAGAGGAAAACAACTACATTCCCAACAAAACACAGGAAGGTTCTATAGATCCCTGTCACCTTTCCATTGTGAATCAAAGCTATATTTCTATTGAAAGATCTTTTGTTACTACTTAACAAAGAAAAGTCAGTAAGCTTACAGAGGAACTTCTCACGTACCCATGTATGACCTTCCCCCAACAAAGCTAGCTAATGTCAGCAACTTAAAAATACTGCCACTGTCTAATTACCTGAAAGAAAAGGAGGAAACATTATTTTTCCCTGTGAATACAAATTCCCCAAGTCCATTCAGTAAGTCCTGTTTTTCATTCACAATTTGGGAAGCTCTAAAACAGAATACTTTAGAATTATAGTTAAAACGCCTAATTTAGAAAAGATAATTATAGCATGTAATTTTTTGAAGAAAAACTCGCTAATCTCTGCTACAATCTTTTCATAAACTATTCTCAAGATTACTTATGACCAAGGCAAAACATTTTTTGCTAATAAATTCTCAACTTATACCTTTACTGAGCTATATAACAAGATTAGATAACCATTCACTTTGCACATATAAATTAACCCATCTACTCAAAACATATGAATTTGCTGTTATTTGACTGGCATTTCCTATGGCTCAACCTAATAAGTAATAGTCCTCCCTGCCTCCACAGGAATCTCTGTAAGGAGCATTCAAGTATGATTCAATGCTACTCCAAAATTCCTTTATTTTATTATATTGTTATAGGTAGGAAATGTGACTACAGTTACATATACAAAATTTGGCACTTTTACTAACTTCACTTTCAAGTCAGGTAAGATGTGAGTGTTTCAGGCAGGGCTTCCTTTCCTTGCCCCACCAGTCACTCTTCCTGCCATATACCCAAAACTCTGTTTATCAACCAGCAGGGGATCTGTTAGGGTTACCTGGCTGGAGGGGGGGGTGGGTCTTTGCTAAACATCCTGCTCTTCTTTCCCTGAGACAAAGTCTCTTTCTCATTTCGATTTACATCACTCTTCCTCAATTATTATTATAATTTACAGAGTTCGCACAAGTCTGCTTCATGTGGTCCGTGGATCCAAATACAACCAAAGAAAATGCCTGCCAAATTTGTGAAATTTGTGTTGAGTTTTACTCCAAATGGTTACATTTGAAAATACTTGTATTTTTTTAAAGATTTTATTTTATTTTTTTAAGAGAGAAGGGAAGGGAGAGAGAAAGAGAGGGAGAAAGATCCAAGTATGGTTGCCTCTCACACACCCCCTACTGGGGACCTAGCCTGCAACCCAGGGCAATCATGTGCCCTGACTGGGAATTAAACTGGCGATCCTTTGGTTTGCTGGCTGGTGCTCAATCCACTTAGCCACACCACCCAGTGGATTATTCAAAGTATATTATTAAAAGTATAATTCAGCCAGGGCTGAAATACTTTTAGTAATGTATTTATCTGTTGCCTTCAAGTTAGAAAATAAGAGGTGATTTTCAATATAGTTAAGTAAAACAAAAAAAAATCCCCAGCATTACATATGGTATACATATGGTATATTTGTGTTTCAAGAGGTCATATTGTTTCAAATGGCTTCAGTAAAGCGCATTGGAGAAAAAGCAAGAAAGTAATAAGGAAGTCTTTTTCTTTAATTTATTGATTTTAGAGAAAGAGGAAAGGGAGGGAGGGAGGGAGGGAGAGAGACAGCCAGAGAGCCACCAATTTGTTGTTTTATTTATCTACACATTCATTGGCTGATTCTTATTTGCACCCTGACTGGAGATGGAACTCAGAACGCTGGTGTATTGGGAGGATGCTCTAATCAACTGAGCTACCTGGCCAGAGCAAGAAGTCTTCTTAATGACGTTCTAACTTGCATAAAGGGCTCAACAGATAGGCAGGCAAAGGTGTTCTCTCTAAACTGGCTCCAGCATTGACTTTACCAATCGTATTTCAGGCCTTTTTTTTTTTTTTTTAAGATTTTATTTCTTTATCTTTAGAGGGGAAGGGAAGGAGGGAGAGAAAATCAATGTATGGTTGTCTCTCATGTGTCCCCTGCTGGGAAATGGCCTGCAACCCAGGCATGTGCCCTGACTGGGAATCAAAGCGCGATTGTCTGGTTCGCAGGCCGGAGCTCAATCCACTGAGCTACACCAGCCAGGGCCATATTTCAAGCCGTTAACTCTCTGACGCAGATGTCCATGTTTTGCAGACTGAATTCCTTCAGTCATGTAATATACTCACATACTCAGTAATCTCAATCACATAACCTTTCTTTATGGAAGATACAGACGAATTCTGTGTCTATACGCACAATGTAAAGAAGCAGTATAATACTTATTACAAAATTACCTGTCTCTTTGGTATTTTTTACCTATTAATTGTAGTTATAATAACATTTCACAAGATACAAAAAAGCATATTAATTATTATCCATCACTTGGATAACAGATATTACATGGTCAAAATCAGATAGCCAGAATAGGTATTTCATTATTAAGGCTCTAAAGTCTATTATTTGAAAATAAGCACTTTTGAGATAAGTAACAACAGTACAGAATGATGCTTAAATGTATATATCGTTTATAGTTTTTAAAGGGCTTTGGCCTCATTGACCATAACACCTTTATAACAGCAAGTATTATTATTGCTGTTTTATATTTATCAAATTATTGGGAAATAGTTTGGAATTAGAACCCAAGCCTTTTCATCATTATCCCATTGCTAGTCCATCTGATATTCAAAAAGTCCAACAGGAAATGCGTTATATTACACATTTTAATTAGAAACCATAGAATCATCAGTGACTATGTTCTTTCAAATTATCTCTAATTCCTTTCTATTCCAACCCTGCACTACCTCACAGATTTGTCCTGTGTTCTCTGTAATACAGTCTTAATTAAAGCCCTCGCATCTTGCTCCGGGATCACCCAGCCTCCACTCCCCTCCCTGCCCCTCCTCTGAACCTCCTTTTACAAGACTGCCAGAGTGATCATTCTAAAATGCAATTCTGATGGTGTGGCTCTGATGCCTGAAAATATTTGACGGCTTGCTACTGCCTACAGTGGCGGTTTATAAACCATGCACCTGGAGATTTGTGAGGTTCTAAGAACTGGACAAAGGTGTTCAGAGCTGCTAAAATCAAGTAATACCAATGAGCTTAATTTGCTGGAACAAAAGTATTAAGGGATAAAGATAGTTGGGTTTGTTTTTTTGCCCCTGTCATTTTCTTACATATTTGAGACTTGCAAAATTAGTTATTTTTCACCCATGATGAGAGGGTAGAGGAAAATGTGCTCATTACTTTAATTAAATATCATGCAAATGTCATGTATTTTCTAATCCATATGAAGGAATTTAATATATGCTTAGATAATCTAGAACCTAACAATTTTATGTACTTAGCTTTTGAACCAGGAAACCACTTACATACTACCCCTCTCTGTAAAGTCTTTGGCAACTAAAGTACTGCCCTCATAGTTCATTGTACAGACCAACTCTTCACGATGCACCCATTTCCCTGCATTTCACTTTTTTATTAAATGCCTCTCTCTCTAAATAGACAGTGAATTCACTGACAACAGAAGAACAAACTATCCACATCTAAATAAATCCCAAGTGCCTGACACATAGAAGTCACTCAATAAATACACACAGGAAAAATCAGTGAGTTCACTTATCTCAGAGAACAAGACTGCCAACTATTTATTACAATTATGGAGTTTTGTAACTGTACAGCACAGTCAACAAATTTTCTCTGTTTTCAGTATAATATATAGCACATTACATAACATAAAATAAAACTTTTAGAAGTATTTTCCTCCATGCTGTATAAACACCGCCAAGTGAGAAAATAAGTTCAATACAACAAAACCCCATTAAAAGCATAATGTTAATTTTTAGGAAGTTTCTTTCAAAACATGCACTGCTCAGTGCCATGACTTTTAATTAAGGATCCGGTCGATTCTACAAAACCGAATTATAATTGTAAAGAATTTTTAACTCTATGACCACAAACTGGATAATAAACATTCAATTGTCTTTTCATGATTCCCCTACAAACAAGGCTGCAAATTTTGTCCTTAAGGAAAAAAAGAATCTGAATCATCTCTGCAAATGTAAGGGCTCAGACATGAAACTAAATGAAACTAAACGAACAAAAACCCAATGCAGTTGCAATCGCTACTTCATTATTGCAAGTAAAATACTACAAAAAGAAAAACCTGCTGATACAGTTTTCACAGTGAAAAGTGCTTAGCTGTTTTTTTATGAAAGTTTATTATATCTTTTTTTTTCTTTTTTTAACTTTTGAGCCCACCAGACATTGCCTTGATATAAACTTGCGTAACTGCAGGGCTACCTCTCATGGCCAGGGAAGACGAGCAGCCAGAGGCAGCTCAGTGGGTACCAGGTCTTATGGTTTCTACTGTGGTAAATAATTTACGGGCCTCCGGCTACCTGTTTACAGCCTATGGACGATGGACCAGTGGTGATATGCATGGCTACATTAAAAGTCAGCATTTTAAGATGAAATCTCAAAATGCTGCATGGAAGGAACAAAACAAAAACTACTTACAGCCAGCAAGCAGGAACTGGTAATACTGTACAGCATCTGCAGCGAGGAGCAGAGGGTGGTTTGCATTAAATGGTGGCTGCAATTCATTCCATTGAGGCGTTCTGAGGAAACAGCAAAAGAAAAATTAATATTTAGGCTTAATAGATGATATGTAAATCACCATCACTGTCACCACATACAGACATTGATATAAACTCACACTATCTTTGTAATCATTAAAACGAACTTGTTGGAGTGCTGAAACCTGAAACACAAGGCCATCTGCTTAGAAAGAATAAAAAGGTGGCAGTGAGTCATACAAACTACACAGAGCCAATATCGGTTTGAAGCAGAAGCCCCTCCATGAGGACAGACATTCAAATTACTGGACAGAGAGGAGGTGCAGAATTCTAATTTTACCTAATTCCTGACAATTGGTAGAGCTCTCTCGTCTCAGAATGTGTGCGCATTTTCAAAGAAAATAAAGCAGGTAAAAGCGATTGGAAAAAAAAGTTATGTTAACAGTTGACTGATTATAGACCTAACCAGCATCTGAGTTCCAAAATAAGCCACTTATTTCAACAATGATGGTGCAGTAATTTTAATTAGATCTGTCCCCTCACGAATGGTTTGATAAATAAGACATTGATCAGATTAATCTAGTGCAGTAAAGCAGCAGTAAAGAATGCTGGAGCCTTCAAAAATCAATATAAGAATATTTTAAAATGTCAAACAGAAAGGGATCATTTTTGTGTCTGTTTTTGTCTGCTTCCTTCCATACATACATCAGGGCCAGTCCTCTCTGGCTTTCCTGTACCACTGTGCTCTATGCAGAACAGGCTGTACTTTAGATTCCAATTCCCGATCCTTATTAGCTTACAAGGATTCTAAGGACTAGGTACTTTTAAGAAGGAGTCTGAGTAATAAACATTTCTACAGTCTTAACCTTTGTATCTTAGGGAATCACTTTAAAGAAAGCCTTGCAATCTATTTATATTAGTTTCTATTCTCTTTAGTGGCTGCCTCAATGTACACTCTACTTTCAGCGAGCATCAGACTGAAAATAAGAGGGAGCACTAAAGCTCTGCCTGTGGAAAATTAAAACAAAACAAAACAAACAAACAAAAAAACCCAACTCCTAAAAAAAGGTAACACAAAGATTCGAGGAGAAGGGAGTTCAAAAGGAGGTATTCTCCAAGGCATATACCAAAGACAGCTGAAAACACAGGGCCACACTAAAATTTATACATAAAATGTTCTTAGTAGCATAATGCATGGCAGGTAAAAAGTGAACATGTCCATCAACTGATGAATGGATAAATAAAATGTGGTACATCCACACAATGGAATATTGTTCGGCCATAAAAAGAAATAGGGTTCTGATACATGCTACAACATGGATGGACCTTGAAAATATTATTCTAAGTGAAGGAAGTCAGATGCAAAAGGTTACATTTTGATTCCATGTATATGAAATGTACTAAGTTGGCAAATCTAGAGATGGAAAGTGAAATGAATGACTGCTAATGGGTAAGAGGTTTCCTTTGGGAGTGATGAAGTCTGTGTTGGTGAGTATACCACACCTAGTGAAAATTCACTGTAAATGAATGAATTGTATTATGTGTAAATTATATCTCAATTTTTAAAAAATTTATCAACACATGCCACAATAGGGATGAATGAAAATAATTTTCCTGGGTGAAAGAAGACAAAAAAGTACACACTCTATGATTTCATTTATATATAAACTTCTACCATAAATAACCTATAGTGACAGAGCAGATCTGAGGCTGCATGGGGCTCCATTTGTAAGTAGTGATAGAGAGGGGCAGGAGGGAGAGAGTAAAAAGCAGTATTAGACACCATTTGCAGGCAACAGATAAATTCATACAGTAAATTATGGGATGGTTTCCATAGCTGTATACCAATATCAAACCTTATCGAGTTGTATACTTTTAATATTTTATGCAATAGAGCTGTTAAAAAAAATGCATATTGTATATTAACTATAATCAAAAAAACCTTTTTCTTAAACAAAAAAAGAAGAGAAAAAAAGGAGGTACTACCTAACCAGAGTCCAGCTGGCTCGAGGTGATGTCATCATTTCCAGTGGGGTGTCATCACTAATCTTGGGTGCAGTGCTAAGTGGCCGTGGCTCCATCAGGTGCTCCACCAAGGTCCCATAGCAGCTAATAATGTAGAGAGATTCAACGACAACTTGTTTGGACTGATCTACAAGCAGAAAAACAGAGCCTGGGTGTTTGACTGTGACAAAAAAAGGAGGATGGCATATTTTTTACAAGTTCCTGAGACTCCTGGGAGAAAATAACACAGAATGTTTTTCACATGGTGTCCACCCCTTGCCTAAAGGCTGCCTCTCATTTAAGAATATAGTAATGAATATAAAAGTCTCTATGCTGTCAATGTTTTTTTTAAATCTTAAGCAATGTATTTCAAGAATTATATAAATAGACTCGAATTTCTAATATAGTGGAACAATATTTTTCATTCTTGTGTATTTGTCTACAACATGTGTCCCACATTATGAAAAATCAATGACTTTAGGTGGGACAAGGAAGACAGACTGACATGGAGCAGTGAATGGACTAAGTTACACCGGATGTACCCACTCTAGTGCACGAGAGGCTCCTTGCAAGCCTAAATCAGCACACCTTTTAAGTATGTTCTCTCAGCAAACTTTCTCTTTAAAATTTCTGGATTCAAACAAACAAACAAACAAACCAGTAGAAAACACACATATCCTCCTCCCCCAAATTCTCTTCTATCAATGGGATCACTGTGCCCATGGTAAATGAAGACCAGTCATACTTTGAGGTCAGGTGTTGAATATGGATCTAATCAAATGACTTTATACGGAGTACACATGTCCTCAGTACCAAAACAGGTTTAGTCCTCTCTCTCGGGTTTTATAGTAAACCTAGGAGCATATAAAATCATTCATGAATGCTGGGTGGGTCACCTTATCTCTATGCCAGAGGAATTAATTACAGCTGATTTGAGAGAATGGCTAATGACCAGTCAGTGGAGCATAAAGGAGTAGCAAGTTAAAAGGGTAATTAGAACAGAAGGGAGAAGCATTTGAAATCGAGCTTCGCTGAGGGTTTTAACTAGCAACAAAAAGTCATTTCGATAACATCGGTAAAGCTAAGGAGGTAACAAAAAAATAAAGATGGGATAAGAAAATGGAAGGCTTGCATACTGTACTGTGTCCTCTCCCACTCAGGTAAGGAACCTGCTGTGCCTGAGATCCTATTTCCAAGGAAAGGGTCACTGAAAGGCGATAACAGGGAAGGGGCTGCGTCTGGCTGCCGGGTTAAGCGTAAAGGAGAGCCATTTTGCCAAGAACAATACAGCCTGTGGAACTCTTCAAAGAGGTACCTCGCTAACAACTCGGTTTGTGACCTACTTTAGTAGAATTAAAAGAAGGGGGAGATCTTATTCAAAATGAAATACTTGGTCCACCAATGTAAGCACTCTCTTCCACACAGAATCAACGGGCAATCGCATACTAAACAGTAATTACATAAACATTTTAGGTATTGAGCTTGATGGTAAATAAAGGGATTTAAAAAAACAAAACAGCCATATCAATTCAAAAGAGCAATGGTTACCATAAAAGGTGACCCATTTTTCTGAGTGGCAGACTTTTTAATTATTTAATTTATGAAATGGCAAAGTTGTTTATGATTTTTTTAAGTCGAGATTTAGCCTTTGAAAACCTGGTTTCAAAGTCTATTCCATCACTTACTAACTATTGCTTCTAGCTAAGATATTTAAACTCACTAATCTCAAGTTCTTCATATCTAAAATAGAGATAAAAATTTTAAATTAAAAATAGAGATAACAAGGTTTTTCCTATCCACACCTCTCCACACCTAGAGAAGGTATGAAATTAGTTTGTCAAAAATGTAAAGGCTACATTGAGAACACCTGTAAACGGTCACTAACAAAGCAAAACAAAAACACCCAATGGGCAATTTATTTAACATATAGTGAAAAGATAACCTTTCTTCTTGATTAGTCTTGGGTAGTTGAGAAAGACATGCTTATTGAATGAAAAAAGTAGTTTCTAAAATATCAAGTTCAGGATTATTCAAGGAGAGCAGCTATGAATTTTCCTCAAGAACAAATACTACAAACACTCAGTTTCATTCTTGGCAAAAATACTCACCTTTTTCTCTTTTCAGACCTGCACTGTTTGCAACCCACGACCTGGACGTTCCAAACATTGCAGCCACGCAAAACTCTCCGCCCACCGATTTGCTGGGCGAAATTTGCGGAGGTGGTTTAACTTTGCTTAAAAAATAAAATAATAAAAATATTACCATGATGAACTCACAGTCCTTGAGATGACATATTTTCCTTAAAATTCCACCCCTAAGTATTCAAACCCTCCAATGCAGCCATGCATTTTGCCTTACTAACTGGCGATGTGAGACTGTGCTCTGGAGTCAAAGTAACATTAGTCCAGAGTTCCAGAGCACTATCAGAATAGCAACTTATAAGGCCAATAAAAATTAACACCTTTTTGAATAAGTGCTGGTGAAATCCTAGTTACTTCTTTTCAGATGTATAACAATTCCCTGGAGACTTCAAAGTGGAACCAAAGAACCAGCATAAATATCTCATGATAATAAAACAGTTTATTTACCATTTCATTTTGATATATAAGATTTGGGATTGACAACTCATTTGAATGGAGGCGGCACGAATGAAAATAATGAGGTGATACACAGTGAAACCCTGAAAATGCTCTTAGCCACAGTGCTATGTAGAGTTACCAGGGGCGTCCCACATTTTAGCGTCTCTGGGCCACACTGGAAGAAGATGAGCTGTCTTGGGCCACACATTAAATACACTGTGACATGTAATCACACACACACACAAAATCTCATACTGTTTTAAGTAAATTCACGATTTTGTGTTGGGCCACATTCATAGCTGTCCTGGGCTACATTCGGCCCGTGGGCAGCAGGTTGGACACCCCTGAACGCGTGTGGAGATCTAATGATGTAATACAATTATGTTCCCTCATCTTCCAATTTGCTTTTTCTCCGTAGATTTGTGAAAATGATGTGTGTATTTTTGTTCTGTTTCTCATGTTTGAGGGTGCATTAAGTAACTGTTATTTCACATATTTCACATATCTAACCATTAAAAAGCACTTGTTTTCCCCAAATCAGCTTTCACACTGCCAACTTCTAATGCCAACCCCACCTCTTCCAATGCTGTATTTCCCTTCTCTTTGGATTTGTGAAAGGCTTCCCCAAAGCTCATCAGCCGTTCTGCCAACCACCTTATGTAAATGGTGGGACTGTCTTCCCTAACTCACAGACCGGAAAACAGCCTCCCTGCACACTGGGCGAGATCACAGGCTGCTCGGGCACAGGCATTACGGAGCTCTGATGCTCCTGCTCTGCTAGTCAGTCTCCAATGTCAAGTAACATTATTTCTACCTTGTTTTGCCCATTATCCTTTATCTCTTTATCTTTTAATAAAGTATGGTTGGATGGAGAAAGACTGGTTTTTGGAGTAAAGAAGAAACCTGAGTCTGAATCCAAAGGCTACCACTTATTAGCGGTGTGACTTTTGGTTCAGTTATCTAACATCCCAGAGCCTAAACTACTAGCATGTAAAATGGAAGTAGTAGTGCGGACCTCATAGGGATATTTTAAAGGTTAATAGATTTGTTCTCGAAGTGCCATCCCCTGGCTAGTAGTACCACCTTGGAACTTCTGAACATGCAAATGCCCATCAGGCCACATCCTAGATGTATGAATCAGAAAACTCTGGGGGTGGGACCTAACAATATGCATTTTTAAGGAGCCCTCCAGACATCAGGTGCATGGTCAGGTTTAAGAAACACTGTGTTAGGTAAAGTGCATAAAGCTTTAAGGGGCTGCCCTTATCGGAACTCTCCCATATCATCATGTTCAGCAATGCTAACTCCCTTCTCTATAGCACACCTAGTTTTTAAAAAATTAGACTTTGCTTTGCTAACCTCAGATCCCAGGTTCTCATGATGACTAAAATAGTCCCTCATATATTTTACCTCCTGAGCCTTCTGTTTTGACATCTTCTTGCTTGAGAAAGCAAAAAGTCTGGATCAGAGGCCAGTGATTGGTCTTTTTGGGTTCTCTCTTGCTACCAAGTCCATGGTAATGCACATTGCCATAGATGAAAAGGTCTCATTTTTCCATCAATAATACTTCCTAAGCACTGCATATCATTACCCATAAAAATCACATCCATGCCTAAAATACCAGTAACCTTTGCAGAACTGCAATAACCTACCAACAGAGAAGAAGAGCCCTCTCCACCTGAACAAATGTGCACCTTCCGGGGGAACTGGCACTGGAATTGTTCTTTCTGGTTATGATGTTCTTAGTTGTACCATATTAGAATATAAACTCTCCTTTCAAGCTTTATTTCCATCAATGAACAACTATCACTGAGCTGTTGAGTTTCTGTACTGAGCATCTTTTAAGTTCCATTGGTCATTTTGAACCCTTAGAGTTTGGGGGAGGTTAGAGGGAATGGGGCAGGGGAGAAATTAGGAGAGAGACCGAGAGAGATTGGGAGAGAGAAACATTGCAGAATTTTTTTAAAGGAGTTTCCAATTGTGTGACTATGTGGTTTTACTAGAATCACCATCAGGAAACAATAATACTGCAATGTACAAATAAACTTCACAAAGACAGAATTCAAAGCTCTTTTCAAGTTACTGAATATTATTTTTGTTTTTTAATCATGTGGTAAGCAACAAGAGAAAACAAGTGAGCATGCCACTTCTTAGGAGGGCACAGATTTAGAAACAGTTGCTACTGGGCTGGAGAGCAACCTTTATAATGTAGCAAAAAAGAGCAGGAATATGATAGGGCATCAATTTGCTCTTTGGCAATGCTAAAATATATTCTGTATGTCTATTAGTTTACAATCTAATCAGCCAATGTCAAAAGCTAAAATCGCTCACCCTTCTTTAATGTTGCACAAAGCTCAGCTTCTGAACACACAACTAAAAAGTACCAACACAGTATCATTTTACATAAACTCATTGTCTCCTGCAGAGATAATTTGTGTAAAAGTATGCTTAAAGTTATGTAATGATCATTTTTATTCTTATACTTATTTCTTCTTATTGTCCAATGAAGCCTTAATAAATAACATTAGTAAAACAGTTGGTGTTTAATAATTAAGAAATGGAGTTTGCAATCCTGAAAATAACTTGCTACCTCCTATATGACATAGCTCTGTGTATTAGGTATGAAGAATATTTGATAAACATATTCATAATACATTATTTCTATCACCAACCTACATTTGGAATGACTATCCTATTTGAGCAAAACAGAACATAAAGATGTGTGGGCATGTATATAAGATTTCCAGGAAAAAAAAAAAGAAGAAATAATCTGAAGATTACTATTAATAAAGTACTTCCAATGTAATATACCCAAAGGGAGAATATTTAACTTTGACTCACTTTGCCCTTCATCCTAAGTATTAAAAAGACCATGACCAGAAATGTGGGGAGGATGTAGAACTGAACTTTTCCACAATGACCCAAAATATTTCTACTGCCAAACAACCTTTTGGTAACAGAAAGGTAAAACAATGAAAAATGATACTTATGTGAAAGAAATAAGAGTGAAAAGAGCTAGCCTTGTAAGCTGTGCTTGCCCATACTGTGGGGGCCAACACTGAGGACAGCATTCCAACGCTAGGCCTTTTTTTCCTTCTTCCTCTCAACATCTCCCTTCATCCCCTAGGAGGGACTCAATAAATCTCATCACAAAACATTTGCAAGTTAAAAAGAATACCTCTGGGTGTTTGGAGCCCTTCTCTCACTTATGTATTAACCTAATAAATCAGTAATATGATATAAAAATATAATTTCAATGTATCTACATCCAGAAATTCAATTGTGCTGATTATGGTTATAAATGAACAAACACACTCATAGTACAGATGGACTCCTTTCTACTGAGAACTCATTCTTTTGATTCCCCGAGCCTATCATAAATGACCAAAAATAAAAATAAATATTTGGCTTCACTGTGAGCAAATGCAAAAGAAAAATGGGGTTAATTCAACTTTCACTGTGTCAGGCAAAATAATAATCATAAGACTTGACACAAGATAACAACATAATCAAAAGTAAAGTAAACACACAAAGAAACAAAATGAATAAGGTGCTAAATTAAAAAAACAGGAGTTTAACTTTTTGTCATCTCTTCTGGGAGACGGAACTGTTTAGTCAGAGAAGAAGAATCCTTTTTACTGCCATCAGAAGTTCTGGGGACATTAACATTACAACATCTTTTAAAATTATTTACAAACCTTGAAGTTATCAATTGGCTTGTACTGTATTATATAATCTGGTCAGATTAATATATTGAATTTCGCTGGGCTATTTTTTCCCCTCCAACATTACTGAAAAGAAAAAACCCCAGCAAATTCTATTGATATCTAGTTTAAAATTAGAAAATGATGCCCACTGGGATCATTTATACTATATCCTGCAGGACAGGATACAAGTGCTGTCTCTGTGGATGGCAGAAAAGCACCAGTGAAGTCCGACGTCTGGTTCTGAACGACTCGGGCATGAAGAAAGCTAAACTGAGACAGAAGCACCATTTCTCTCCTTCTCTAAAACATAAGTGTGTGGTCAATGTTTCAGTTTAAACTCTAGACACAACACTGGTGTGAGAATTACAAGTGGCTTAATGCCTTTGTGTTAAAAAATATTTTTCTTCATATTCCTCACTGGCATTAAGATTTGAAAAGGAATTTAGAAGTTTTCTCTCACTTTCAACTTTATTTTTCTAAAATAAGAACTGAGCGGTAAACAGAAATATTTTAAAGATATTAATAATATATCTAAAATTAGTCTATTGCAAATTGTTCTTAGAGATCTAACAAATTTATATAAACTTTACAGATAAAAGGTTATCTTCTCCATATATATCCTCCCTTTGAAAATGAAATTATGATATTTTATATTTTCGGAAGAAGAGAGCTTGAATAAAATATTTATTTTTAATTTTAATTTACTTGTTGTTCAAGTACAGTTTTCTGCCTTTTACTCCCATCCCAGCCCACCCCCCAGCCCTCCCCACCTCCCTCCTGTTTCCACTCTCCCCCTTGTTGTTGTCCACGTGTCCTTTATACTAGTTCCTGTAAACCCTTCCCCTTTTCCCCTGAAATTCCCTCCCTTCTCCCCTCTGGTCACTGTCAGCCTGTTCTCTATTTCAGTGTCTTTGGTTATATTTTGCTTATTTGTTTGTTTTGTTGATTAGGTATAAAATATTTATATATTGATCAAATAAATATTTTCAGACAAAGCTAATTAAAACTTTAATATACTTTTATATGTTTTAATTCTGTTTTAAAATTAACACTATATAATATGAACACAGGGTATGTGTAAGGGAGACATAAACTGTTACGTATATTTGTTTCTTTTGATCAGACATCCAAAAACAACAGCAGCTTAAACACACCACCACACCGGCACACCGTGAACTCAACCAATACGTGTTACTCATTTGTAACACTGAAAGCACAATTCACTTTTTAAAATTCACAATGGTATTTCTCTTAAAATTTCTGTATTAAAAATGTATCTATATGTGATTATTTTATTTTATACAGCCATTCAAACTCAAATATTCTAGAGTAGACATAATCTTTGGAATATATAAAATATTGTAGTTAAACGTCAAAGATGGCCTACACACTTAACTTCCAACTGTGTAGGTTTATTTTCTTATCGAAGGGAATGACATTATTTCAAATGGACTCATCTGAAACTATATGAATTAAACAATTAAACCAGTTTATCAAAGAAATAAAAATTAGTAGGAACTGCGAGTTATCAAAAGCAAAATCTCATTTAAATATAAATATTGCAACCTAAAAGTAATAAAAATTTGATGTAATTTATGTAATGTTTTAAAAGGAATTGTAGTAAAAATTTCATATTCTTCCAAAATACAAATATTACCCAACAACTAGAAGTACTATAAACATTTTTATTTAGAATAATTGTTTTATTTCAACAAAAAATAAACAGTAAATAAAACATTCTCAAGTTGAATGTCAAATATGGAAAAACAACAAAAACTGTTAAAACAAAGAAGCTCTTGTAAACAACATGGAAGTTGTCAAATTTATATTCATTCTGCTGTCTTAATTTGAGGTTTCATTAAGATCTTAATGGGAAAAACATGCACTGCTAGCAAAGGAGCGCATTCTAAAGGAGGATCTTTCAGACTAGCATAAGTGACTAAAAACGAGTTTCTTGTGAGCTAACGATGGCATCAAACAAACCACAAACCAGTCTTCTAAAAGACAGGCAATGATTTAAAAGTCTACTATATTTCATATATCCCTTTCTTTAATCTGGCTCTTTTAATCTTGTTTCAACCTCAAATCATTTCTGGTTGACAAGTGCTTTGGCTTAAATTTGAGGCGCACATAAGCTGTTGAAGGAACGGACTTTTCTTATTTAACATACAACATTTGTTACTCCATCTTCCCTTCTATGCTAAAACTTCAATCTTTATTAACATGCTAAAACTCTTTTCTTTGTACTTAGAATGAGACATTTATCCCACAATGGAATCTGATTTAATTCTAAGTTTAGTCTACAAAGAAATTTTGTCATACGGTGAATCTGGCATTTAAAAATCAACTGCTCACTATAAGCTCCTAAGTAAGATTCATGTATCTTATTTGTTTTGTTTTGTTTTCAAGAAATCTGATTAACAAAAGAATAAAGATGGACTTTCATGGAACTTTCATTCATTTATACCCTGAATTTGTTGAGAATAACTTCATAATCTGTGTCCTAATTTTGATGCTACATTTCACAAAGGAAATTTTTATGATGTTTGTTGCTCTATTCTCCAATGATAACAAAATTTTCAGATGTTCTTGTGGCATATGGACACTGAAATTAGTTTGTGTCTAATTACACTGTACCTCAAAGTAGTATTTAAACTTCTTTTTGTCCAACAAAAGAAAAAATATTGGGAGGGTTCTTTTCCAGTATAATGGGATAGTATGAACAATCCCCAATAACAGTTATGAGAAATATATATATGTAACTCTTTTAGTCTTTTGAGTCAATCTATAAAACTGATATTACTTACATTTCCCAAAACATCCTTTTGACTCACTTGCTCTTAAAAGAAAACATAATCTCTAAAGAAGTGTTTTTTCAAAATTGTATTTTTCATTTAAATATGGAAATAATAGTAGCTGTTAACATTTACTGAATTTTTATTTGTGCTAAGCAATTTATACCATCAGTTCATTTAATGCTCATAATGAACCTGTAACATAGGTGCTCCTAGTAACCCTATTAACAAATAAGGAAATCAAGAAACAGAAAAGTTTTAGAAAGCACCCAAGATCACATAGGTAGAAAGTGTACGAGCTGAGGTTTAAGATCTAGGCAGTCTGGTTTTGGAGCCCTGATTTTTAACCATTATGTTAAACACACTATACCAGGTTCTAAATACATTCTACTTCACATCTTTACATAAAAGTATTAAATACATTCTGTTTCTTTTCAATGGTCATATTCTCTAAGACAGACGAAGCTGTAGTTTATGAACTGCTATATAAGAATTTTCCAACATAAATGTAAGCTATGGTGAGTAGGTGCTATTAACTCAAAAATAATAAATTATCTGGGAGTTTTTTATGTGAAACACCAAAATTATTCAAAACAGAACTGACTCTTGTTCCTTTGGTACCAAATATAAAAATTTAGACGGCATTTTTATATTGCAGTAAATACATGTAGTAAATACATTTATACTACAAAATAAATCATATCTTTCAATGTTCAGCATGATATGTAGGAAGCTTCTATTACTATAATAATACTCAAAGCTTTAAATGTGTTAGCCTTGTCATATTACGCTAGCATTGTGAGAGAACTCTTCCAATTTCTTTTTCTTTAATATTAATCTGTGATTTTTTAAATTTAAATTTAAATTTTCAAGGATGAAGTAAACTCAAGAAAACTGCTGTTTTAAAGTATAAATATCAACATTCATGTCCCATCTCCAAACTGTTCAGAACCTCGGTGCATCCATCTGTGACCAGGCCATGCAACTGAAAACACCAGCACGAAACATCTACTTTCTGAGAGTACGACAAATGAATTAGGCATGCGGGACTGAACCGAGACTCACCATGGAGCTTTTATGGAAAAACACCCCGCTCCAAACAGATAAGGCCTTTGTGGAAAAGGGGGGAAAATGCACAAAAAATTAGAGGAAAACTCATTTAACATTAACAAATAACATGTAAATCATACTGTTATAGGGTATGAATAAAATAACTGAAAAAATTAGTAGTCATTGGTAATTCTGCTGTAGATACTAATGACCCTGATATAACCAATAAAAATGATGTGTAGTAACAAAGCCCTGAATTTTCAAAGGGTTAGAGATTTCAAAATGCTCTGTTTCTCCCCCTTTTCTGGAGCAACCCTGTGGGGTCCCTAGGTAAATTAAAATAAATTGCACTTCTGAGGCCCTTTAAAACAAAGTACAGGTTAAATGGAATAATCAGATGAAGAAAAGAGTGGGATCGGTAGCAACAGATGTGTGGTTGTGTGACACCAAACATTTAACACTAACTAAAGATAGCACAATAAAAAATCGATGAGCATTGTCTGCTGTTCACCCGTTGTAATCTCAAAGCCATAGAAAAGAAGCACATATTTCTAAGCTGTTAATTTCTAGTAAGTTGAACTGCATATTGCTGGTCAAAGGAATAAACATTCAATACAAGTACTATGATTTATTTTCATTTGGGGTCACACTCCAGGAAACTGGCCTTTCTCTTAATAGTAATACAAGAGATTAGCTCCCCTCTATTGGGCTAGGCTAGAATCAGTAAACTAAAGTCACAATTGCTTGTTTTAAACACAACTACGGATACAAAGTCAGACTGCAGTGTTACACATATTTCCTCTTAATACTCTCTTCACAGTAATTAACACATGCTATGCCCATTTGCACACAAAGACGGCTGACTGATTTAATTATACCCAGAACAAAATATTGCTGTAGCATCTGACACTTGGAAGGAAGATGTAACAAACTGAGAAGGAAAGCACACTGGCAAAACTCCGATATTTCCTTCTACTTTGGTGCTAAGGCACATTTCAAAAGTCCTGCTAATTAGTATTAATCTCCCAGTGAATTGAGTATATTTCACTAAAAACTGAATCTTGAAAATAATGCTTTCACAACACTAGCTGTAATTCTGAGGACTACAGTACAGAAGATAGACAGGAACAGAGACACTAAACGAAGTGAGATGGAAGAACTGAGATTTTGAAAAAGAGAAGGAAAAGAAGGAAACTTTACAGATGATGCCAATGCAAAGCAAGGAGCTCTCTCTCCCAGTTAATGGTAGGACCGCAGCCACAAAGACGGTATCCTCATTCACACTGAAAACAGTGGATTTCATACTTTTTTTTTACTGTGAGCCATAAAAAGATTTTTTTTCATGTACAAGCTGTTGTGTTTTTGTTTGTAATCAACTTTACAATTTTCTATTTCAATGTTTTCTAGACACTCATAATGGGATTTAGTTACAATGAAAATTAATACATGTCCCAACAGGGCAGGTCTGGGAGGGGCATGAGACTCTCTATTTCTAACAACCTCCTAGGTAATGCCAAAGCTGCGTGTTCACAGAACCAGTAGCAAAACTGCATTTTATTCTATGCGATTTCATTAATGACAGAAAAAATTCACAATCCCCTTTTCTGATTTCATGATTCACTAATCACATCGGAAACAAAATGCTACTGCAGCTCACCCTGCACCTTGACAAAATAGAACTGAGACCATGTGAAGACTAATCGGAAAATTTAAGGTGCAATACGTTTCCATATGCCCACGAATACCTCCCAGGTGAAGAGGTTATTGTTGGCTCACAGGACCTGACTTCCTTTCATTCTCTTCATACTGCAAAACACGTGCTGACAGGAGTACTTGTGATCTTGACCGTCTAGTCAGGAGCTGCTCTTTTGTGTATATTATATATATAGACACTGGACAGTCTCCAATCTCATTCCAAATATCAGACTACAGCTCATTCATTGTACAGAATTTCGAAAGTTTTATCTTTGTCTTTATGACTTCAAAGGTTTCTCTATGACTCCCCCAAAAACCAGCCAAACAAAAATGAAACAAAACAAAGTTTCAACATTTCAAAAAAAAAAAAAAAAAAAGACCAGCTGATCTCTATCTATAGAGCCAGTAAATACCTTTTCCAGGTTTAGGTTTCCTTACACAGGAAAAGGAAACACGCCTTGTCTGGTAGCTCAGTTGGTTAGAGCATCTTCCTGATCAGCCAAGGCTGCAGGTTCAGTCTCCAGTCAGGGCACACACAAGAATCAACCAATGAATGAATAAATAAGTGAAACAACAAATCGATCTCTCTCTCTCTCTCTCTCTGTCTCTCTTTCTCAAATCAATAAATAACGATTTTAAAATAAATAAGTAAAAAGAAAACATATCAACCAAACAGATTAAACATAAGCTTTAAAAAAAAATCTCTTAGATTCCTTTCCAGGCAGTAATTGTGTATTACCAACAACAAGATTTCTACGGTTGCATCCTTCCCCACAATCCCAAAATTCAGTTAACTCTCCAGATACTGCAGTAAACAAGCCTGTACTAAACAGCAGCATTGCTAAGTTTAAAGTCAGTATGGTTTCCACTGCCCACAACATAACCCAGTTGTGTGAGTTTACCGTTATCCTTCTCCAATCAAATAAGAATCTATCGGGTAACACAGCTCAAGGAGAAATCAGAGGGCTGGGGAAACAGGGTGAGAATCTGCTGTAGAATGTACACTTGGCACGTTCCCAGTCTATACTCACCCACTTCGTACCCACTCCTACAAACTGGACCTCTGCCACATATATGTAAAAGAAGAGCCACAAACTCCCAGGAATTAGAGTGACTGACGTAATTACTGACTTTGTATGGGTAGTGTCAGCTGCTCTTTTGAAATGTGCCTGCTTCATCTTTCCTCAATTGCAAAGGAATGAAAATATAAAGTCACAAAGGACAACTCCATGATCCAGCTGTCTTCACCTATGACTTTCTCCTCCCCCTCCAAAATCCCACAGTTGTGGTTTTACACGGGGGAGATTTGAAGGCAGCAGAGTATGGGAGTGGGAGTCTATGTTGAATTGAAACTGTATTAACATATGCAACTCAAATGGTCATAGTCAGATATTAAGTATTTGTGTTTTCCAAACACAATTAAGTTTCAGCAGATTTAGCAATCCTACCAAAAAAAAACCTATTCACTTTGTCATGAATAAGTCCTTTTAAAACTAAATTCTGAATGGAAAACATCAGGACTGGCCAAGAGACAAAATATCAAGAAACATTTATTAGAGATTTATTTACTGTCCAGCATGAAAAGATTTGGCCATTCTCAAAGGGTTTCTTCTGGAGACTTTCAGAAGACAGGCAGGAACTGTGTTGTATATTATACACATTAATGCCAAGTCAGTCTGTAAAGTCAGATGAATTTTGTTGGACACCTCATAGCACCACAAAAACTTCGGTCTTACTAGTGGGAAAAAAAAAGGCAAATGTAAAGACTTTACATGTAAATAAAAAGTAATACCAGACTTGATTTGAACATGGTGAAATCCTCTATAACCTAACTCTTGTGCTGAAATGGTATTAATAATGACTTGGTCCAATCATCTGCCCAGTTAAAGACACAGTTGGAGTTTAAGGGAAAAATACTACAAACATACTCGGAAAGTCCCATTTTATAACTGATCATATCCCATGAGAATTCAGGCACTATCACTTAACAGACATCAGAATGAGCACACATAAATGTTAAATGTTGTGAATAGAAAAAAGTCGAAGGAAGGCACACAACACTATGTGGGAAACTGGAAAGCCACACTGTCTGACAGGAGATTCTAGGAGCTGTGATGACCGCTACATTCCATGTGCCCCCTGGAAGGGAGCAAATGGAAAAAACTCACATGCGTATGAATTAGTCCTCATGTGTTACTTTTAACCCAGTAACTTTTCAAGTTACTTTTCAAGTGTTACTTTTAATTTTTCATTAACATTAACTGTTACCTACTAAAGACACTCATGGCACTGTTGGCTCTCAAATTATTGACCTGTAGGACAAATGGAAGATGAAACAGATGGGTAAACTGTCCAATTTGAGATATACTCAATAAGCAAATTTAAAAGACAAACTCAAGATTTCATTAGAAATAGTAGTTATCTACTAAAAATAGTAGATTACATTCAAATTCTGGCAGATATGGCAGAAAAGAGATTAGAACAGCATAAATACATTGAAAATTTTCTTAGGAAGTTATTGATGACTTTTAATACAGTGTATAATATACTCTATCTGCCCTCTGTGCCCTGCCCCCACCACAGATTTATGGTAAAATGGGACAAAGTATAGTGCAGTTTAAGAACTGGAGTGACCTAGCACAATAATTGGAAACTCCAACTACAGTAAAGTGTATTGCACATGTTGACACATCCATTATCCATTCTAGTGAAAGAAGACACACTGTCTGTAATTTTAGATATGCAACCACGTATTAAATGCTGCCATCACTAAATAAAGCCAATCATCTACGTTTGCTAAATGCAGCTCTTGCTCAGCACTGGCACAGGGCTCAACAGCGAGGGGAAGAGATGAGAACAAAGGTGTGGGGGAACTCATATACTATGAGCCTGAAAGGTTATAATCTACACCTATATATTTTTTATTTTTCAGATGAATAAACTGACCCACGACACACTGGTGATAGGTGGCAGAACCGAGATGAGAAGCCAGGGTCTCAGAAGCCCAAGTCCATTTTCTCCCACTACATTCCCTAACACACATCTATGGGGACAGGCCCAGGGTTCCTGATACCCATGCCAAGTTTCTCACTAAGAAATGATTAAACATAAAGATGGGGGCAGGAGAAAGCTGCTCCATTTAAGAAAAAGGAAACCTATGAAAAACACCAAATCGGCTCCTGTTTACTTCACTAAATTTGGCCAGCTAGTGAAGAGCAAGGAAATAACTTAATTCCAAATTTCTTTAGTTTTCATTTCTATGAAATTAGTCTGACCTCGTTTTGAAATTTACTATTCTCTGCTTGTGCCCTTAAAGTGATATGCATGTACTACTAATTTTTGACTTAATGTATATAAAATTAAGTATATTGAAACTTCTACATAGGAAGCATTAAAAAAAGTTTATTACTTAACTTGATTCATTAGTTCGCCCAAATATCTATGACATGCTGCTTAATAAATCCGTACTACAAACACTAAACACTTCCAAACAAGGATCAATCCCTTAGTACCTGGCTTCCCTTTTAACAAATGAGGAGAACTATTCTTTACACGTGATAGAGCACAACAGAGGCCTTCGATCCCAGACTGGATGGAGATGGGTTCTCTCCAAATGAGTGGGTGTTGAAAGGAACGACTCCTAGTACTGCTGTGCGTTCCCCGCTGCACAATGTGCTGTAGTGGGGTTGGGCAGCAGCTGTTGCCAAAATAGGACTTATTTCCTCCAAGTGCTGCTTCAAGGTACAGAACATGAAGGTGTAAATACATCTGTCTCTTGCCATTTGTAGTTTTACTGGCCTCATGCGTGTCTCGGAGTAAGACAGATGGTCCCTGACACTGCTCAGGCATTCAGAGATATATATTTCCAAAAATGAGGGCAGATGTGAAATATGTAAATACGAGTTTTATCCCCTGAAGGTCTGAGCTGAGCCTGCCATCTCAATTTGGTTATTTAAATGTGCGATGCTAGACAACCCTTAGAAATCGCTGTGTAGAAATGTAGGGTTTTGTGCTTATTTTATGCCTTTTATAACAACATCTAGAACACAGAACAAACAAATATTGACCCAACCTAAGAAAGTATATAATTTTACTAGATAAGATATCAGGGATATAGGAAGTAGTCACAGAACTCATGTCTGCAAATGAGTACACTCTGTTCTCTTTCTACATAATCTCTCTCAAATACTTCTTATTAATTTTATTTTTAAAATTCTATGAAAGGCATTTCACAGAAGCAAAGTCATGAGTAAATTAGAATTTCTAGAATGAAAAGAGACCTGGGAAATGAGAAGCCCATTTGCTCATCACTCTGGTGACCTTGGTGTGGCAATCAAAGTTCTCAGAAAGAATAATAAAATTTAATGGAAACAATGCAAATTAGCCACAGTAATAATTTATAAAATAAGTAGAGCCTTTCAAATCTAAGAGTTTAAAATATAATAATATAAAATGTCTGGGATTTGCTTCAAATATCCGCATGTAAAAATAAAAATTCAAGGAATATATTTTGTTCTTACAAAACAAATACTACTTTTGGTAAGGCAAAAACATGTATTTCAATGTAAATGCTAAGTGTTAAAATGATAAAACCACAAATTATGTTCTGAAAACTCTATGATCAAATGTTTGGGTGAATTTATAGCAAAAGAATTACAAGGAAAGTCACAATAGCAATTTCTGAATATAATCAACAAACACATCAGAGAGTGGCTTAGGCCTATTAAAGACTTGGAATCTAGCAACAGCCAAGTTATGAATACTATGATTGAAATGTTTATAAGTCACTGTAATCTGTGTTAATAGGAAGGAAAAGAATAGTAAGAGGGGAGAAGGAAAAAGAATAGTGAGCTAAGGAGGAGAAGAAAATAGTAGGTGGGGTAAGTCTTGTGCATTAAAGCTCTCCCTCAAGTTGAGTATTCATTACAGACAGCTGTATTAAAAAAAACTAATAAAATGAGTTTAAAAACCTCTTGTTTTGATCATATACTATGGCTATATAAGAGAATATCCTTGTCTTTAGAAATGACATATTGAAATATGTAAAAATAAGGGACTACTAAGTCTGCAAATTACTCTGAAATAACTGAGGAAAAACATGGTGTGTATGTGAGTATGTAATGAGAGAATGTGAATGCTAAGGCAAAGATGTTAAACTGTTAACATTTGGGAAATCTTGGTATACAGAAATTCCTTTTACTGGTCTTATAACTTTCCTGTAATCTATGTCAAAAGTTTTGAAACTTGAAACTAAGTACTCATTGTGGGGGCAATATTAATTATTCTCTGCAAACAATATAGGAAATGCTAAAAGAATTAAAACTTGGCTAAAAGAAAATGGTTTCATAACTGAGATACAAAGTAAACGATATGACACATGTATCCTGAATACTCATTTGAAAGCATAGAACTCAAATTCATATTATTTAATTCATTGATAATTATTAAGTTATTTATAATATAAGAGAGTCTAATATACATGCGCTAAAAATCTAGGCATTGTGACCAAGCTTTTAAAAACAAAAGGATACTAGACTTATCCAAGTGATCATTTTATAAGTTACCACTATGCTGTACACCTGAAACTAATACAATATTGACTGTCAACTTAATTGAAAAATTTAAAGGAAACCCAATTGATCTAAGTTCATGAAGTATGGTAGCACAGGAAAACACCAGCTGATTCAGTTTCTACCTATCTAAGGGCAGAGAGAGAGTAGCAAGAGAGAAAGTTAAAAAAGAGTGAAAGATTTTATCTTTTTATTATGGAAAATTTTGAACGTACAAAATAAGACTCACTTTCCACCCTTCCCACAAGTATTTTGCATTAAATTCTAACATCACAGAACTTCAGTCACTACGGAGAAGCTTATTTGAAAGAGAGCTCTTTCCATTATAAAACAGCATAGCTGTTAAATGTTCAAAACAACAATCACAAACAGTAGAAACAGAACTAAAATTAAATTCAGGAACAACAATTCTTTCAAGAAGATTCACTAAAGACAGACAAAAACTCCTGAATAGATTTTGTACAAGGCTGATTTGGGACCTAAATTTGCTGTATTTTTCATTTTCTTTTCTGTCATATGCAACAAACTCAATTTTATTTCTGCGTTCAGCAATAGGATCGTTTCACACACAGGAACCTGGGGAGAGGGTCAATCTCTGTGATATGGCAAAATTTGGAGTTCAGCGGACTCGTCCCTGAGAATAAGTAATCCTCACAAAATTGCCCTCTGCAAACATTTTACCACCTAGCAAGCAATACTAAGACAGCCAGATAATTAACCCATTCCTTTTGTTGTAAAGGCCCTGAAGACTATTTGAAGCCAAGATAGGGTTTTCTCCTGACTGGCTTAATACATAATTTTAAGACAGTTGTTCCATTTCCAAGTAGGTTAAACCTCAGGCTTGCTTATTGATTAACATGGCTAATTCGCCTATAGACATATGTATTTTCTGGTACAAATGGAATTTCAAAGGTATCACACAACTCAATACCTAATGATACCTTAAACACAGCACTTTATTTTCAGGAACCAAAACAAGTGATGGTCCTGTATTTCCAACAGGTAGGAATTTATAAAATTTTTCAGTAACTAAAATATACACAAATATCTGAATTGAATTATTCTTCAAGTCTTTGAGGATGGTAATAACCAATCTTGAGTACAGTGAAAATCTTAGAACTCTGGCTTGAAAACTACCCATAAGGTCACATCACCCTGATAATAATAACATATTATTATATATACATCACATCTCCACATAGATGATTTTTTTCAAAGGACTGCAAATATGGTTGTCATCTAAAGTTCTCTTCTTAGCATTTGTGTCAGTCAAAATTTGGGAGCAGTTATAAATCCAGATCACGTCAACAAAAGAAAGAAAATGGAACTGTATTTTCAGACAAAGCCACGGGCAGCAAGAATAAGTAGACCGATCTGGTTTCTATTAGCCAATACTCATTTTCACAACTTGTCACTGCTTTGTTTGTTCTATGATGTGCATGCACATGGCTATGCATGTTTTATACTTTGTACTTAATCTTCTGCCATTAAGTCTCATATGGGCTGGAAATGAAAAACATAATCAAAACCACCCAAACAAAAAGCGTGTTTAATTTTTATGCATTCAGTCCTCTACAATGGCTATTAAGTGTCGAGCCTGAGGCCTTACCCTGTTCGTTTGGTGATGGTCCCCAATGTCATTGGCTGTTTGATTTGTGCAAGAGGCATCAACACCATCAAGCTGGGGAGCGGAGAGAGACGAGGGTTGCCAGGGTTGTTGTTGGCAAAGTTATTGTAGGAGTCTTGGCTGTTTAGTTTCCCTACAAAAAGAAAAATAAAGAAAAACATCACCAAGGAAGTTTCCTTTTCGCATCAGGTTTGCACTAACTCCACTAATCATTGAAGAAAGATATCAAAGGTAGAACTGATTCTGAAAGAATCGTGATTAAATGCTTGGGTTGGGGAGACAAAGAATACTGGTTACATGAAGTGTGACTTGATTAGAGAGACTTTAGTCTTTGGGGATGGAGGAATAGAGGCTACCAAATTGGATAGATGTTAAATAATTATACCAATAACTATTATAAAATTTAATTATAATTTTATAGTGTTATAGAGAAATACTGAGCAATTAAGGTATGAGATATGCTTTTTAAAAAATACAATAATAAAATGAAATGAAACAAATAAAATCAGATGAAACAAAAATCTCTCAAGTTTAAATGAAGGTTACCACAATCTTACAAATATGGGTTTAGGATTTTTTTCCTGACTATTTTTTTTTAAGATTTTATTTATTTATCTTTAGAGGGGAAGGGAAGGAGAGAGGGAGAGAAACATCTATGTATGGTTGCCTCTCATGTGTCCCCTGTTGGGAACTGGCCTACAACCCAGGCATGTGCCCTGAACTGGGAATCGAACTGCGGCAGTTTTGGTTTGCAGGCCCGCGCTCAATCCACTGAGCTACACCAGCCAGGGCTCCTGATTATTTTTTAACCAGTGTCCTCAAAATATTGCCTATAATGTCCATTACTCCAATACTATGATACTTGAAGCCTGAAGCAAGGCAGGATCCATGATCTCTTTCATTGTTTCCATTTAAGTGATATCCTAGCCAAACACACACAGAACTCACCAAGGATTACATTCTAAATTTCACAGCTCTTATAACCCCTGTCCAGTCACCTTTTCCCAAGGAAGAATACTGATGGGGAGGCATCTCTGTCACAGTAAATAATGGTTTTTTAGAGGGACTAAAGTTAGAAAAAAACCCTACTGAATTCCTTTTCTTTCTAAGGCCAGTGGTTTGTTGCCTTTCCGCACTGGTCCATGATACCTCACAAAACTTGCTGCTTCAGCCTATACCTTGTCATTACCCACAAACCGTCACCTGGGATTTTGATGGGGACGTCACTGGATCTGTAGACCAGTTTAGGGAATACTGGCATCCTAACAACAGTAACTCTTCCAAGCCACGAACATGGGATGTCTTTCCACTTAGATATTTTTAAATTATTTTGAATATTGTGTTGTAAATTCCAAGATACAAGTTTTACACTTACTTGGTTAAATTTATTCCTATTTTATTCTTTTTGATGCAACTGATGAACAGAAACATCTTCTTACTTTCTGTTTTCAGACTGTTCATTGCTAGTGTGGAGAAATGCAGTTAACTCTGTACATGGCTGTGGCATCCTGTCACCTCGTTTCTTAGCTCTACTGGTTTCTCGTGGGTGTTTTTTAAGGATGTCCTACAAGAGAATTTTCCTTCTTCCTCTCAGTCCAGATGCCTTCTACTTCTTTTGTGGCCTAACAGCCCTGGTTACAACTTCCACGACAATACCGAACAGAAGTGGCAAGAGCAGACTGATTCATTTTGAGTTAACTTTTGTGTATGGAGAGTGGCCTGAGTTGAGGTTCACTGCGTTCACTGCTTTGAAAATGGGTATCCACTTGTCTCATCACCATTTGTTAAAAAGACTATCCTCTCTCCATGGCATTGCCTTTTCAGCTTTGTCAAAAATCAATTGATCATGTATATGTGGGTCTATTTCTGGATTCTGTTTCATTGCTCCATGTGTGTGTCCTTGCCTTGATACCACATTTTCTTGATTACTGTGGTATTATGGTGTTTAAATAGCATTAAAATACCATAGTAATATGGTATTAAATAGCATTTTTCATGTTATTTAAATGAGTTCAATGTTTACAATCCAACAACTCTTCCATAGAGATAATATCTCACTGACCTAATGTTATTTTCACATCATTGTTTTTGATTTTTTAACCATTTTTAGTCCTTCTTTATCCCCCTGTCCCCATTGTTGCTCTTAATTTTTCATAAAAAGTATTTGTCCTAGTTATATGGTCAGCAATAAAAATGGTATTATATAAATAATAGTGACCATAAACACACACATATAGTTATTTTACTAATTTGATTTTAGAAGACAAATTTATATTTAAGAAAAAAATTACCCCAAAAGTCCTAATTAATGTTATTACTGAAAGTCATTCTGAGAGAATTTATTTATTCTCAAAATAAAATGAATTTGGTACAGATGGAGATCTTCCACCCCATGTCTAATGGGAACTTCAGAGAGAGTGTTAAACATAAGAGGGACCTTTTAAAAAATCATTACAACATAAAGGTATCCTAAGAATTAGGATAATGGCTTAACCAAATGTATCTCCTTTCTTGGACACAAACCCATAGAATTATCAGGTTAAAGATGTATAAATGTCTATTTAACCAAATAAGGAAAAAGACATTCACACAAATAAGTTATTTCTCCGTCTCCCCAATTTCCAATTCAGAATTCACATTAAAGTTAGTTGAAGCAACCCACGCCTACTGTAGGAATAATGAAGACAGCACTCAGAATATGCACAAGATGCTCCAGGGGTGTCCAGCCTTTGCCATCTCTGGGCCACACTGGAGGGACAGTTGTTTTGGGGGTCACACAGTAAATACATGGCAACAAGTAATTACAGAAAATCTCATAATGTTTTAAGTAAATTTCTGATTTTGTGCTGGGCTGCATTCATGGCCACCCTGGGCTGCATGAGGCCTGCAGGCTACAGGCTGGACACCCCCGCAGGCCATTTACTAAATTATACAATAATATCTACACTCACATAACACAGAACCTTATAGGTAATATGAAGACTGGAATCCCACTAAAATGTCTGACATTTGTAGAGGAATAACAAAATCTGTTTTATAGTCAAGTCATTCAACGTGACGGATCATAATACTCTTAAGATGAATACAGATGTACATAGTTCCAAGATTCACCATTAGACAACTATGGTAATATTTATTTACATTTGAAATCAGACCACAACATTAAATATGTCACAGGCTAATGAAATTCAAGGACTGTGTAAAACACACATTTCACAAGTAGCAGCCAAATATTTGTAAAGTATCTTAGCCCAAGATTACATGCTGTGAGCACTGCATTCTCTGTTGTCACAAAGCTTACAATCTAATATGCATGAAACAGGAATAATGAAGTTCTAATTGCTTGGTAGTGAAGAAAAGTACACGTGGGATCAATTATTTGGAAAAGAGATCATGGAGCAAACGGAACATGACCTAGGCTTTGAAAGATGGGAAAAATATGTGTAAGCGCAGAAGAGGAGAAATGTCCTGAGCATGAAGGATAGCATGAAGAGCAGAGGGCGTAGAGGGACGCCACATATGTGAGCAATAGAAAGGAATCTAACTGGAGAAGACTGAAGTGGGAGGATAAAAGGATAACAGATTTAGGAAAACCTTTCAACTAAGGCAGGAGAGTAAAAACTTAGGTAAGTTCTTCAGCAAGGGAACAGTAAAATCTTGAGATCGTTGAACTTTAGAGATAGCATGAGTGGTCTACAAAAATGAAGTGACTCACTGAGAAGCTCCATATCTTGTGGTTTGGTTAGCCATGACTGATCTCTCACTGGCTCGCCAGGATAAAGGACAACCTCAGAAAGGCATGAGAGGGACATCAGACTTAACCCACTCAGCCTGCTATTGGACTGCCAATCAACGCCGAAGTATTTATGGGATTTTATGCATGGTATATGTGCTTATGATGCAGCTGCTGTAATTCAGCCCATTGGAAAGAGTAAAGTAAGTAGGGTAGATTTTATATTGCTAAGAACAGAGGTAGTGTCTGTCTTATACAGTAGTCTTCTTTATCCGAGGGGGATGCATTTCAGGACCCCCTGTGGATGCCTGAAACTTCAAGTAGTACCAAACCCTACATATGTCTTTCCCTACACATACATACCAATGATAAAGCTTAATTTATAAATTAAGCAGTTAAGAAATTAACATTAATAATAAAATATAATAAAATTTATGTGATGTGGTCTCTCTTATTGTACTTTATGTACAGCATGGATATGCTGGACAAAGAACTTATTCACGACCTAGGCAGGACAAAACAGGACAGTGTGAGATTTCATCACACTGTCAGAATGTGCACAATTCAAATCATGTGATTTGTTTATTTCTGCAACATCCCACATTTGGACCACAGCCGACTGCAGATAAGAGAAACTGCGGAAAGCAAACTGAAGGTAAGGAGGGACCACTGTATTTTATTAGATATGGCAAGCAGTTTATAAAAACAGCTTTAATGGAAGGATAAATGTGTTAATAAAAATAGTCAATGATGACAAGGTCCTGGAAGCAAATTCAGAGAGAATTCTACCTAACTCTGCTAACCTTCAACAGGTAGTTTCAGTGAAGAGGTAAAAAACTCAGATGGAAAGGGAAAAATGAAAAAAGCACTGATAAAAATGGTAAAGGTGATGGATATAGAACACCGAGTTAAAAACTTTGTGGCTGAAAAGAAGACATTAACAAGATGAGACACTGTACCAGGCAAAGGTTTCATTCAACATTCATTTTCATGTCACACTTGTTACGCCTATTTGTATAAGGCCCTGTTCTGGTCCCCAACATTTAAGGGACTCCTACTGTGTTCATAACATAATAGGACAGAAAGATTTATAAAGAAAATATTTTAAATAGAAGAAAATATGTTAATAATCTGCAAATGGTCTCAAGAACAAAAAGGAAGAAGACACTTAAAAAGGACAGTAAGAGGAGACTTCCACCAAGATGGAGGCGTAGGTGGAAGCACTTCGCCTTCTCACACAACCAAGTTTAAAAACAACAAAGTTTTAGCAACAAAAACACAGCCAAACCACAAAAAATTGAACTATACGGAAGTCTGACAACAACAAGCCCTTAACCCAAACTGGTAAGAGGGGCAGAGCCAGCAGCAGAGCAGGGTCGGGCAGGAAAGATCCACCAGAC